TTGCACCTAGGATTTAAGGAACCAAGGATCTATAGAATCTAGGATCCATGGCACCTAGGATCTATAGATCCAAGGATCTATAGAATTTATGATCCATTGCACCTAGGATCTAAGGAACCAAGGATCTATAAAATCTAGGATCCATGGCACCTAGGATCTATAGATCCAACGATCTATAGAATCTAGGATCTATGTCACATGGGATCTATGGCACCTAGGATCTATGGCACTTGGAATCTATGGAACCAAGGATCTATGGAACCTAGTATCTATCCTACCTAGAGTCCATAGCACCTAGGATCTATGCCATCTGAGGTCTACCCTACCTAGGATCTATCCCACCAAAAATCTGCTCAACCTACAATCTACCCCGCTATCTACCCCATCTATGGCATCCAGGACCTGTGCCACCTAGAACCTATTCGAAAACTCGTTGCAGGTATGCTGAGCATGGGTGACAGCCTGGCGCCAGGAAACATGGCTTTGAAAGATCAAGTAATTGCCCTGCGTTGGGTTCAAAGGAACATCGCGGTATTCGGTGGTGATCCTAGCAACGTTACCCTGACAGGTTGCAGCGCTGGTAGTAGAAGCGTGATGCTACACATGATGTCCCCCATGTCCCACAATCTCTTCCACAGAGCCATCTCCATGAGCGGATCGACAATCGGCTCCGAAGTCTACTCCAGCGTCGCTAGCAACGGCCAGAAGGAACTCTCCACAAAATTGGCCAATCTCCTCGACTGTCCCACTGATAACACGGCCTCCATGTTGCAATGCTTGAGGACCAAACCCGTGGAGAACTTCACCACCACCTTAGGCCAGTTATTCGTGAGTCTCGACACACGTTTACCTCAACTTTTGGGACCGAACATTGTTCTAGAACGTTGCACGAACAATTACTTGTTCGATGAACTTTTAAAAATATCACCTTATAGGGAACGATAAGGCCGAACTGTTTTTCTATTTACAGTTTATTCGTCCGACGTTTCGTTTCGGAGATAAAAATTAAAAGCTCGGAAGACCGTCTCCCTGAAATTCAACTTTTCCGACGAACTTGTAACTTTTTAATTTTTATTTTCGAAACCAAGCGTCCTACGAATAAAATGTACAGAGAAAAAAGTTTCGTCTTGTCATCCTCTATGAGGTCATCTTTTTCAAAATTTCGAAAAATAAGTAATTTTTAGGTAACGATGCTTTCCATTTCCGCAGTTCCAAATTTAATCGAATTCAGGGAAAAAAGGCCTTCCACGTTTCGAATTTTTATTTTCGAAACTAAGCATCCTACGAATAAAATGTAAAGAGAAAAAAGTTTCGTCTTGTCATCCCCTATGAGGTGATATTTTTAATAATTTTGACAAATAATTAATTGTTGCCTAAAAATGCTCCTCATTTCCATCGCTCCAAACGCGATCGAATTCAGAGAAAAAGAAAGGTCTCGTAGGTTTCGAATTTGTATCTCTGAAACTAAACGTCGTATGAACAAACTGTAAATAGAAAAAAGTTTCGTCTTATCATCCCCTACAAGGTGATATTTTTTCAAAATCGATCCAACAAACATAAACATATCTCCGAGGCAATTACTCGAGGGCGTCTACAAGCGCCCTTCGCGTTCGAAGCGTTGATCCTTCTTAATTGGTGTTTTCATCGGGTCAGGACTGGCGCGGAAACCCAATTTTGCTCTGGAAACCCACGGTGGAGCCCGAGAGCGGCGGCGAGAGGTTCCTGACAGCCCAGCCGTACGATTTGATGGTTCAGAGGAAATTCAAGCAGGTCCCGTTCGTCCTAGGCGTAACGCAAGACGAATTCGGTGGAATAGTGGCCTGTTGGTACAATAATCATCTAAATTCCAGATAAATCTTACCTGTGCATTATTCCATTGCGAATCGCAGATTACGAGCAGGACAAGAGGAACAATGGCACCCTGTACAAAGAACTGAACGACAATTGGAACCGACTCGCCCCTATTATATTCTATTACGAACGCGACACGCCTAGATCGAACTACATCAGTAACGAATTACGTAAATTCTACTTCGGCGATGAACCGATCGACACGGATACTATCGAAGCACTCTCGCGCGTACGTAAAATGTTCATTTGTTCGAGGAGGATGTCTCAAAAGTGAATAAAAAAAATATATATATATATTTTATATATAATTATATATAAAATATATATATATATTTTTTTTATTCACTTTTATCTCTGATAAAAGGATCTATAGAATTTAGGATCTATAGATCCAAGGATCTATAGAAT